ATACACACACACTCATACACACACACTCATACACACCCACTCACACACACCCACACTCACACACACCCACACTCACACACACACACCCACCACACACACACACCACACACACACACAACACCACACCACACACCACACACACACACACAACACACCTCAATCACGCACACACACACTCATATCACGCACACACACACTCACAACACACACGTCACGAACACACACACGCACACACACACTCATCCACACTGACCACGCACAAACCACACACGCACACACACACACGCACACACACCATGCACAACACACACATGCACACACACACATCACACACACACATGAACACACACATGCACACACACACACACACACACACACACACACAATCACACACACACACACACACCACACACACCATAGTCATTCACACACACATAGTCATTCACACACACCACACAGTCATTCACACACAACACAGTAATTCACACACACACACAGTCATCACACACACACACACACACACACACACAGTCACACACACACACACAGTCATTCACACACACACACAGTCATTCACACACACACACAGTCATTCACACACACACACACAACACACACACACACACAACCACACACACACACACACAACACACACACACACACACACAACACACACATCACACACACACATACACACCACACACATAACACACACACACACATATACACCACACACACACACACACACACACACACACACACACACACACACACACACACACACACACACACACACACAAATAAAGGAAAAGAAAAAGAGAGTGTGTAGGGGAGTGATTTTTTTCCAATTCATATTTGTCTATTTTTAAAGCCAACTCGTTAAAAAAAAGAGAAAATATAATGGAACTGACCTAGGTTTCTCATTGTTGGTGTGGGCTTGTTTGGGTTTATGGCAATAGGAAAAATATCTACATTTATGAATTTGTGTATTTGTGCTCTAATCTGCACTTGTTTGAGGAGCATTATACAAGCTGTCGCCTTTGCCGGTATAGCTGGAGTATTGAGACATGATCATCTGGTGACATTAGCAGTGAGTTGAACCTGGATCTTCCAGGTTATAAGATGAGTATGCTTCGCCTATACAGTACTGGCATTCACACACAAGAAATTGGTTACCTCTGGGACTGTCCACTGGCTGTACCTTTTTTAAAGTTGGTTGATTTGGACTAAGACAAGTGAATGCTTGTGGTAATATTTAAGAGTGTACAGCTAAGTGGATTATCTCTCTCCTTGTTAGGATACATGGCAACCTCGCTTGGATGCGAATGTGGGGAAAGGCCCAAGGCGCCAGCACGAGTGCTCCTACTGCCCCTACATTGCACGAGACAAGACTGATCTTCGTAAGCACTCGTACACCCACACCGGAGAGAAACCGTATGCCTGCCCCTATTGCCCTTATCGTGCTAGGCAAAACAGCTGTATAAGAACACACATGAGGAGGCACCATTCTTTTTCCATGATATAGTGCTTTTGGTAATACATGTTGAAATACAAGGGAAAGAAAATATTACCTGATAAACTTATTAAACCATATGAACTTGTTCAGTATTACCATTGTATGTAACAAAAATCTGCTCAATACTAAGTCAATAAAGCCAATACATCTATGTTGTAGTGATAGTTATCCTTATGGAAACTGAAAAAGAATATATGTTATGGAACATGTTTATAGGATCAACTGTTTCAAAAGAAATATGTGTAAATATATATTTACTTTTTTCATCCAAAATGTTTTTTATATTTATAGTATATATATTATATATATATATTATATAGTATTTATATATATATATATATATTTATATTATATATATATATATATACACATATATACATGTGTAATATTTATATTATATATATATATATATATATAGTATTATAATAGTATATATATATAATTATATATATATATATTATATATATACACATATTTATACATGTGTGTTATATATATATTATATATATATATATATATATATATACACATATTATATACATGTGTGTATATATATAATATATATATATATATAAGTATATATATATATAGTATATATATATATTATATAGTATATATATATATACATATATATACATATGTGTATATATATATATATATG